CTGTTGAAGTATATTATCTTCGTAGGAAGAAGACAAGGTTTCTTCTACCCAATTTCTTTTCTTTCTCTTCCCTTCCTGATCAATCAATTAGTCTTAACACCATTAGATGATGAGAAGTTTCTACACCGGAAGGGCAGGGGGGCACAGTGGCCCAGAGCGTGGTATTAGAGCTCAAAATGGGGAGAAGAGGATCCATTTGGGAAGGCTGACCTGCACTGATGTCAGAGACCAACCAGGCTAAGGACTGGTATCTATGTGGAGGGGCAGCCTGACGTGAGGTTGTGACATTCAACTGGAGGGGAAAATATCTCCATGCAGTAGGGAGAAGGGCAGCATGCGGAGTGAGGAAGGAGTCTCTTTGGAAGAATATAGTCTGCCATGGTGTATTGGAGCTGATATGGTGGCGGTGGGGCACCTTCTGTGGGTTGTTGAAACTCAAGTGGGGTGAGGAAAGCATTTGTGTAGAGGAGGAGTAGCATTAAGGATGGGGGAGACAGGGTATATATGGGGAGTTGATCAAATAAAATATATAAAGAGTAACGAAGGCTGGGTTTCTTACTGTTGGAATAAGGATTTACAAAATAGGAAAAAGAAAAACACTCGAATAAACTTTATACTGTTATATTGTAGTTGGAGATATCGGTGTGCAAGGTGCTCTATCTATCTGTTTATCTATGTATTTTTTAAAAGCGAAATAGAAATATTGTGTGTGTGTGTGTGTGTGTGTGTGTATGTGCATTTCCTAGCTTTGTTCATAGGGAGGGTTAAGAAGCAGTGACACCCCAATAGCCATGAATGCATTTATATTGTGTGTGTGTGTGTGTGTGTGTGTGTGCATTTCCTAGCTTTGTTCATAGGGAGGGTCAAGAAGCAGTGACACCCCAATAGCCATGAATGCATCGGTATCCAGATCTCGACTTCTAAATACCATCCTCCAAGGAACCAGATCTCTTTGGAAAAAATGGCTGACTTCAGGACTGTGAAAAGCAAAGCACAAGATGAGACTTGAAAAATAGGTTACTCCAGAAGACAAGAAAGTACTCAAAGAATGATTTCAAAAGGACACAGAACTCCTCAACTATATATGTATTTTCGTATTTCTTTTGGTTTCCTGCAAAGACACTTGTTGCCTAGTTTAGGTATAACAATAGGTTTTAATTGATTATCAGAGATAAATTAGCAAAAACTAGAACTAGAGTTGGGCAGATTGTTAAAGCTAGAGATGGATGGAAATTAAATGTAAATGAAGGTTAAATCAGATCGAATTGTCCTGACAACATGAGGGAAAGTAGACTGTAGCAAGGAATGTGGGAAAGATGGAGAGAAAGTCCATGAAGAAGAAAAAGACAGCTAGTTATTTTAGGGGCCTGGGCATTGAATTTATCAAGAATTGTGTTAGAGAATAGCAAGAGATAGAAGACACTACCCTGGGTTTTTGAATCTATGGATAAATACTAGTTCCAAGTATTATGGAGTTTGGAATATCTCTATTCAGGTTTGAGAGATCAATGGGAAAAATGGTTTCAAAGTGAGCTTGTGGTGTTATCTAGATCCCTCAGTTAAAAGTGCACCTGTTCATTTGAAAGTTAAAGTCTGAGAGGTTGGAGCTGAAAAAAAGCTTAGGAGAAAAAAGTAGTCTGCACTGTAATCACATTACAGATCGCTAATTTACCTTCATGTATAGGGAAGCAGTGATTTGTATTGCAGTAGGTCTTAAACTAGGCTAATCATTCATATTTCTTGGGGAACTTAATATATATATATGTATATGTACATATACATATATATAGTAAATATATATACATATATGTACACACATATATATACATATATATACATACATACATATGTACATATACATATACATGTGTGTATATATGTATATGTATCACCAGATACATATACATAGAAATCACCAGAATCTCAGAAATCACCAGAATCGCCGGGATGGTGGAAAAGCTGAAACTAGTCACTTCAAAACCTATTTTTACCATTTCCTAAATGCATCCTTGTAAAAGTTATGTAAACCCTCTGAGCTTGTTTTCTCACTTGTAAAATGAGACTAATAGTAGCTATTTTAGTGTTATAAAGTACAGTAAAGAGGTGCACTCTAAATAAATATTAACTTCTGTTATACCCTCCATCCCCAATTAATACATATTTTTTACTCTGGGATGCCTCTCATAGCTAAAACCAAAGAAAAAATATACTCTAAAATTTTAGCTGCAAATAACTCAACCAATTTAGTATAAAAGAGGACTATACATTAGGAACGAGAGGCCAGACCACACTTTTTCACTTGAGGCCTTGAGTAAGGCAGGAGTGCAGAAAACCAGGGGAGATGATGCAAAGCCTTCCTTTTCAGGATGCCCTTGTTGTTTTGGCAAATGAGCATGACCAGACAGATGGTGTCAGGGAATGTTCTCTCTCTTTTCAAGTGACCTTTTCTTGCCAAAAGGCTACCTCACACTCTAGGAAGGAGGCTGGGCTCTAAGAAGTTGCCAGAAACCTTGTTTGAATTATAGCAGTGTGAGGAGGCTAAAACCTATCTTGCCAGCCATAGAAGCTTAACTATAACATAGCTCAAAAGAGATAAGAAAAAGCAAGAATCTATTTGGTGTTTGTACTAAAATTGGATAAGACTACATAGGCAAATTTATAACATATAATTCTGTCACATGTAAGATGTGTATGTTCCCTTCTCGTTTAATATTTTTCATACCATGTATTTTTATTTGTTTGTTTTTTGTTTTTGTTTTTAATGCTACACAGTATTCCATTAAATAACTATGCCGTATTATTTAATTAAACCCCTAAAATGAGATTTTTTGGTTTCTTTTTAAGTACTTATTATAAATGTACTATAATTAATATCTCCTTTCACAGATCTTTGTATATGCCTCTGATTATGTCTTTAGCTAAAGTCGAATTCCTAGAGGTGGAAATATTAACCTTTCAATATACATTGCCAAATTGGTCTCCAGAAGCTTCTAGCAATTTATATGTCTTTGATGGTACATTGAAATATCTGTTCACTACACCCTTGACATTCCTAAGTCATTGCTGTTTTTTAAATTTCTCTGAGTTTGCCAGATAATGAATAATAATGATAGCTAATGCTTATAATGTTCTAGCACTTTACATAAGTAGGCAGAATTCTAAGATGGCACCCAAGACTCCGTGCCCGCTAGTGTACACACCTTGGATAAGCCCCAGGAATGTGAATATGAGGAGATACTGCTCCTGTGATTATGTTATTCTGTATTGCACACGGGATTTTGCAAGGTAATTAAGTTTCCAGTTCAGTTAACCTTACGATAGGGAGATTATCTAATAGACTTTATCTTAGTACATGAGCCCTTTAAATCTGAGGTCAGAGATAGAGAAAGTCAAGGAGATTCAAAGCATGAGAGGGGTTTAACTTGAGAATGATTTATCCCTGGTGGTCCTGAAGATAGAGGGAGCTACTTGGGAAGGAATGAAAGTAACCTTTACTTGCTGACAGTGGCCTATGGTGGACAACAAGCAGTGAAATGGGACCTCAGTCTTACAGTTGCAAGTAACTGAATTCACCCAACAACACAAATCAGCTTGCAAGGGGATTTTCCCCAGAGCCTCTGGTAGAACAGTTCAGCAAAGAAACCAGTCATGTCATGCCAAACTTCTGACCTACAGAACTGTGAGTTAATAAACGGATGTTGTTTAAAAGAAAAATGTAGGATGCAGAAGATAGCTTAAAGTGGTTTCCACTGGCCAAACTGGGCATAATTTGATCATCAAAATAAATAATTATAGTAATGGCACAACCCATTGAATAAAATGAATCTATATAGATATGGACAAATACATACATAATTTAAATGTTTACTAAGAAATGGGGTATATACAGCATTTTAAAGGAACTCTCCACAAAATACTTATTCATTACAAGTAGAAAAAGAGTTCCTCTATAGAGGAACTCTACCTTAATTAAGTGTTCAATTAAGCGTTCAAAGTGAATATCATCAGTAACGGACAAATGGAAATCAGATTAGAATACAATGAGAAGGACACAAATCACTTCTGTGATATTCCTGACATAATCTATGTCTAAGCATGAAGAAACATCAGAAAAACCCAAATCAAGGGCCTGTAATTTTCAAAAGTATCAAGATCATAAAAGTCAAAGACCAAATAGCGATTTCAGACTGAAGCAGACTAACGAGACATGACGACTAAATGCAATGCTTGATTCTGAATTGGAGTTTATTGCTATAAGGAGTATTACTGGAATAATTGGCAAAACTCATGAGGTCTGAGAGTTAGTTGATACTATTGTTATTTGTCAGTGTTAATCTCTTGTTGATCGTTGTCCTGTTGTTATGTAGGAGAATATTCTTGTTTGTGGGAGAGACAACTTCAGATATTCAACAATGGTGGAGAATCAGGATAGCAACCTCCTCAGACATAAAAGCTTTCAGAAAAAAAATTTTCTACTGTACTTGCAACTTTTCTGTAAATCTTATTTTTTAAAATTTTTAAAAAATTATATAAAATATTTTTTAAAAACAATTTTCTTCAAGTCCTCTATAAATTTATTTTAAAAAGAGCAAAAAACGAGAATAAAAATTACTACTGTTACATTATGACGATAGCTTTATAATCATTTATTAATATTCATGTACATCCATGTACATATATATGCACTTATAAAATTAGAATTCTCCCTCTTGTATCTTGTTTTACGATTTTTATATTTATATATAATCTACATGTCATTAAACAGTATACTACAATATGAATTTTTATGGTAACGTTTTTGTATGTAAAATATATTTCGTTATTATTTGAAAGGCTCACGTTTGGTTTTAAAATTAGTTGAGCACCTCTCATCAACTTTGTCAACTTTGTCTCTGTGTCAAATAAACCTCAGCTAGTAATTATAAAAGATAACTTGAAACAATGAAGTTCGTTTGTACTTCAAAGATCGATGGCTGATGTTTATATATCCTTTTCCTTAGAAACACTTCCCATTGGACAGATCCAGGAGCACCATTTTTCTGGACCTAAGAAGCACCAGTACTGATGAATATTTCACTACCCTCTCCACCTCACAGCCCCACCCCCAAAAACAAAAGTGAAAGGGTAAATTTGTGACTATACCACCATTTATTTATTCAACCACTGATAGATATTTGAGTGGTTTCTAATTTGAGAATACTAGGAATATTGCTGATATGAACATACTTATACATTTCTTCTGGTGCATATATGTGCACATTTCTGTTGGGTATATGAAGGAGTAGATGGGCTGAATCACAGCAGCTTTGTTGCCAATGAGTTTTCTAAAGCAATTGTACCAATTTAGACTCTCACCAGCAGTGTATGAATATTCTGGTTGCTCCACCTTCTTACCAACATTTGGTATTTTTTCATTTTAGCCACCCTAGTGTGTTTAGAGAGGTATTGCATGTTGGTTTGAAATTGAATTTTCCCAATGAATAAGATGAGTCCTTTAAATATGTTTATTGGCTATTTGGGTATCCTTTTTTTGTGGAGTGTCTATTTAGTTCTTCTGCCCCATTTTTTATTGGATTGTCAGAATTTTCCTTATTAAATTGTAGGTACTTAAAAAATATCTGTATTCTGAGTACAAGTCTTTTGTTGAATATATGTATTGTGAATATATTTCCCACTTCTTGGGTTGCTTTTTTATTCCCTTAATGGTATATTTGGATGAACAAAAGTTCTTAATTTTAGTACTTTCCAACTTAATACATTTTCCATTTATGGTTAGCATGTTTTTTCTAAACTATTTAAGAAATCTTTGCCAACTCTAAGGTCATGAATATGTTCTTTTACGTTTTCTTCTAAAAGCTTTATTTTTTGTCTTTCACTTTTAGATCTTTAATACATCTGGAATTGATTTTTGTAAATGTTGAGAGGTAGGGGGCTAAGATTCATTTTTTCCGTATGAACATCCAATAGACCCAGGAGCATTTATTGAAGACTGTTCTTTGTACACTTCACAGCAGTGTGCCTCACCTCTGTCATAAATCAGGTGACCATAAATGTACGAATCTGTTTTTTGACTCTATATTGTTCATTGGCCTGTTTGTACATCCTTGTACTAATAATACACTGTGTTAATTACTACACCTTCATAATGGATTTTGATATATGGTACTTTAAATCCTCCAGATCTGTTCTGAAGATTCCCTTGGCTATTCTTTGTCCCTTGCATTTCTATACACATTTTTTAATCAGCTTGCCAATTTTCACATACACACACAAATCTTTTAGGAGATCAATTGAGATTGTATAAATCAATTTGGAAGAGTTGACATCTTTACAATTTTTTGTCTCATCCACATCTAGTTTATGAGTGGTAGAGTTGGAATTCAGCCTTTGGTGGCCTTATTCAAAAGCCCAGCACTACTCTAGAGTTAAAGTATACCTTAGTTTGAGGATATGCTGTTTTCATTTCAATTATACTTTAAATTAACTTATTTTGTTGGTCCAATATAATGTTTTCTATAAGAATATCTTTTTAAAAGCTCTCACTGCATGGATATCTCTTATGTCTCATGTCTTTAATTGCCAAAGACAAGTAGTATCGTAGTCATATATTAGTGACTATTTCATGTATTATTGACCATTATATTTTGGGCCAACGTATTTAGATGGTACTTTTAAGACCAAGTGAAAAATTCTGTGCAGCCAAATTCTTACTGTTTTTCCTTGTGTATATGATAATCTGACCCTTTCCCAAAACCCCAGCTCCCATTCCCCATCTCCAGGCAAAAAGGAGAACTTTTCCTTCCCTCTTTCTCTAAGGGAGAGAAATTTTTTTTTCTACCTCTCCTAGCTTTCATAGAATATTATTGGGATTTTTCATTCAAGGACTTTCAAATAATTGTTCAGAGAATATGGATCCCTATGGAAGGAGATCATGCAATAAAATATAATGGAGAATTTCCCTTTCTTTTCCTGTGTGAAGGATTAGGCCGAAACAAAAATTTAAACAAGAAAAGCCTGACTTCTTTCACTACACCCTCCTCATTTAGCCTTCTACTCACATCAGGTGTTCCCTCCCTCTTCTCCACAGTGAGGCTGCTCATCCTGAGTTAGTTAGTTGCCTCCTATCACTGGAAAGCCCACCCAGATCTGCCTTAGGGCCCACCTTTGATGTTCTACCTCCTGTGCAGTAAAACTTCTAACCACATCAGCAAAGAATGCAGCGATCTAAACTGTGAGTTTGCTTTCTTGGGAGAGAGGATGCCTTCTTTTTGACCCAAACTTCAGGGAACTAAAAAGATTTTTTTCCCTCTAATTTTTTTTCTTCACTCTTTCTCTCCCTCCTTCTAAACTTTATCTTCACTTCTTTAAATCTTCTTTTTGTTTCTTCATGTCTTAGCCTAAAGAACTTTTCTTTAACCGGCAATAACACAAAAATGAATTAATATTTCTTACCTGTTGGAATTATTTCATTTATTCTAAATGTATTGCTGCTACTGTGTTTCAGGCAGTGCCATTGAACAGTTTTATAATCTTTGTTGTTAAAGAGTGGTGGATTGCTATTTTTTATTAAGAATTAAAAAAAAAATTTATGTAGCATTTTAAAAGAAAATTTCTTCTTGTATAATTGATCCTTTGTGAAACAACTATTTATCCTGCAGTATTAAAAACCCACAAATACATTCTTCAGTGTTATTTTTTGATAGTGGAGTTAAGTTTCTGAGGATTTTTCTTCCTTTTCCAGAACCACCTACACATGTTTTTATCTATTCTCTTCGAGCTATGTTGAAATTGCAAGTGAAACTCTATTGGAGTTTTAAAATAAGAAATTTCGCTAGATGTAATTTTCTCATGCTACTATTGAAGAGCAATGATAGTAATACTTTCTGGTATTTTATCCTGTTCTTATATTGATGGGTGCTTTCTAGAAGAATTTTTATACTGCTTTATATGGAGAGGCATCAAAATCTCCTGGGTGCTTCATATAATTCCAGTCTGTATCAGTTGGGAATTTTATTTGGCTGAAAGTTACAGAACCCAATTATAGAAGCTCAGGGATTTATTTTTTTCATAACAGCAAGTCCAGAGAGAAGTAGTCCACAGCTGGTATAGCAGATTCTTAATATCAGCAGTGTCTCATGCTCCTTTTGCTTTTCTTTTCTGCAATAGTTAGTATCTATCTTTCATCCTAATACTCACTACATAATCATAACAGCCTCCCTATTCTCTAGTTTCACATCCACATTCCAGGCAGGAAGAAAGAAGGAAGGAAAGACAAGGAAGAAGGGGCAGTGCCTATAAGAAAAAGTAAATCTTGTTCCGGGATTCCCAGCTTTTACATTATTGGCTGGAACAATGTCACTTGTCACTGAGAGCCTCAGAGATATAAAAACGAAGACCAATATTGTAACCCTGAATAAAAATGGATCCTGTTAGGAAGAAAATAAGGGAGGATGGATATTGGCACCTAGCTGTGTCTACCCCAGTCTTAAACTTCAGATGATAGACTCTCCTCAGCAGTGATAGCGAAAAGCACATCAAAAGTCCATCTAATTGTTGAACTCTGTAACCTCGCTTGTGGCCTGACATTAACAGTTTTCTTCTAATGAATAAGCTTGTAATCAAAAGAAAGAGCACTGCATTTGTGACCATGAATCAGGAGAAAAAGTACGCTCTTTCAAATCATTTTGTTAAAGATGTCAGAAGGAATTTTTCATAAAAGGTACAACAAATTTGTATAAAAATTATGTTGTATAATCATACCAGAAACTTGTGTGATGGTAGCTGGGGCCAGGAAAACAAGTAAAAAGATATTGCAAATACCCCCTCTATACACACACATCAAGGTTTGAAAATCCTCCCCCCTCTTTTTTTTCTATATACTTCTTTAAGCTAGATATATATGCATTTTCTCTTGGGCTTTTGAAATGATTAAAATAGCTCTCAGGATGTAGCAGGAGTTAGGGCATGAGAGAGTCCACTGTCTACAGAACTCTAAAGTCCCTCAGAAACTTCCATGTTCCTTTCCTTGCCTTGGAAAGAGAATCAAGTTTTTAAATGAAAAGAAACCTGTAGAATTGCACATATATCGTGATTGCATTTGTACAAAAATTGGATACAAACATGTATATGCATAGAACATCTTTAAAAGAATATAAAATAAAACACTAAACATGAACGACTACCAGGGCTAAATACAGTGGGGATATTAGGGCTAAGTAGGAAATTTTAATTTTTACCTTATAGTTTTCTATACAGTTTGGTTCCACTAGTTTTTCCAGGACAATCATTTTACCTTATGCTAATTACAATGCATAATATTTCATAGTGGAAGTAATATGTGCCATTCTGCTCAGACTTTAAAAGAGAATTCTGCATTTTTAAAAAACACTTCTTAAGCTAGACTTTGGCCATAGTATTTGAACTAACACTTAAAAATGTCATAATTTGATGCTACATCCAAGATAGTTCTTCATATTGGTATTGTTCTCACACTATTTGTCCTCTCAGAATCCTAATCACCTTTGAAAACTTACCCTCAGAGGGTAATTGGAAAATCCACATATGTCTACATGGTACGGCAGTTTTAGAGTTAAGAAACTATCCATATGTTGTACAATTTTAAGCCTAAATACAACGGACATTTCTTTCCTCGGTTTATTAAGAGATTTTCTTAGGAAAGAGAAGAATGCAAATTTTAACACTTAAAAAGATCTCATTGTTATAAATAATCTCTTTGCTATTTTTTTCCTGTTCTCTAATGAAGTCCTGATTGTTCACCTTCTCTGAAGAGACTGAGGTCATGTATTTTTTTTCTAAAGTTTAGATTCTCTGGTAATCCGTAAAAATTAACTTTATTTTAAAATGTTTTTTCAACCCTCTTGCTATTGTGAAGCTATCATTACATTATATATCAGACGTTTCTCCTGCACTATAAGGAATTTCGTATCAAAATATATTATCTTAATATATTTTTGGTAATTAAATAGATCTAAAAGGCTTAACATTTTGATAACACTTATAAGCAATTTAAAAATGTCACACAATGTGGACATGAAATAATTTTTAAAACTAGCTGCTCTTAAATTATTTAACATGGAAAATTCTATTCAAGTAGCCATTACTCAGCCAAAAGCACTTTATAAGCTGAAGTTAGCCACTTTGAATTTCTCACTAGTAAGCATAAAATTGAGATGACCCAGATGACATTTACTTGTTTTAATACATTTTAATAATCCTTTATCTGTAATCTGTGGGACCAGATGTAGTTTGAGTTTTTCAGATGTTTAGAAATACAATATAGAGCTTATTCCTTAAAACTGGTGGTGCTTGGGGAGCATGCCATAATTAAACACATTAATATTTTTGCACAAATATATGAGTATTCACATTAAATAGGATAAACTTCAGTTTGGGTCAAGTTTGCTACCAAATGATATCAAGTCAGATTGGTTAGGTCACCATATTGATTATGAAATAAACCTTTATCTTCAGAGATTTTTATATTATGAATATAAGATTTTGGACTGAAGTTCACTATGATGTTGGTCAGTTCTCTGGGTCTCAATCATCTCATATGCTAAAATGAGAAGTTAGACTAACAGATTATTTTTTTGTGTGTGTGGTGAGAACTTATTTTATTAAATTATTTTTCAATTACAGTTGACATACGATATTATATTAATTTCAGGTGCACAACATAGTGATTAGACATTTATATATCTTACGAAGTGATCACCTCGATAATTCTAGTACTCATCTGGCACCATACGTAGTTATTACATTGTTATTGACTGAATTCCCTGTCATACTTTATATACCTGTGACTATTTTTATAACTGACAATTTGTTAGACTAAGTTAATTATATGTGAACTCTTCAGGTTCTAAATTAGAATATTATTTTAATTCCCTGATATAAGAAACAACACAATTAAATCAGTTTTATAATACCTCAGTTTAATAATTACTTAGTTTAGAGGCCCTCAATATTCTTGAAAGGTGAGCAGTAATTATTTATGATTTGTATATAAATATTAAAGAATGTTGATCAAAAAGTGTTTCCACTCGGTTTTCTATATTGTTAGAACCAAACTAGGTTTCAAGTTCATGAAGACAATTACTTTTTGTTTACAAGTTTGATTTCTAGAATGTGTTCTAGTGCACAGTTCTTATGGTCATAATTAAAATTTGAACTATGCATAAATGGTGAGAAACTTTTTGTAGCCATCATGATTTTGCTCTGAAGACCAGAAAGAACAAATTAAACAGAGTTAGAGCAAGGTAATGGAAAGGGAGTCTATAAAACCTCGTTTTATTGCAGAGCCTCAATCTTGCAATCTTTAACATCTTTAAAAATGTTTTAAAAATAATATTATAAAATTTTAGCTGTCTCTTGTTTCCTTGACAGATATGGAAAACATGAATAAAAGAGACCGACCTTTCATCGCAATTCAGAAAAACAATAGCTCAGGTATATTTGTACTTTCAAGTCTGCTTTGTGATTTATGGTGGATTATGCATAATATAAAATTGAAATGTTGATTTTCGAAATTTTAATCATGGAAAGCTAATTTTTTGGGTTTCTCCAGTTTCCTCACCATAGGCATTTAAATCACCTTCGACAGCTGTTAGGACAATCTCGCTGTCCTTCACTGTCCTTGTCTTTTTTGGAGCCATCTTATAGTCATGTGATCCATGATATATTTAATAAATCTTAATTACTTCACAAGGCACTGATTAGTTATTCATATTATTGAGGCAAATGTACATTTTCTGCTTGAATTACTCAGTTTATTGTACTTTATGCTACTTGGCCTTAAAGTACCTTATACTTATGTTTTACTTTTTTCAAAGTAGCTAATATACCAGACTAAGTATTTGGATAGAGAATGCCTGCACAAACATTTTATATCATTTTAATTCTGTTTAGCTTATTAAATTTTTTAGCTTTCAGTTTCAATCTATTTTCAAATTTAATTAATTCTTTTTCAATTTTTCTAAGTTAGAAATACAGCTCTGACTTTAAAAAAATCTATTTCTTTAATTTGATTTATAATAATGTGATATTTAAATATTCACAGATGATGCTTAATAATTTTAAATAAAAAATGGTCACACTTGTATCTTGGCATAATAATTTTCTAAAGTTCTCAATATACTAACTTAGATGAAAGTATCTCTTTTATGCCCTTTTAGAAGTAATTTTATGCAAGGAATATATTAGAATATATTGATATAGCTTCAAATATACTATGAATGTTTTAATATATTATTTCTTGTATTTACTTTGAAATATTTAAAAATAAGACCTGAAGTCAGCATGTTGCCATAATTATATATTTTTTTGCCATAACTATATTTCGACTTCTAATAACATGATACTATTTCTTTGTCATTTTCTGTTTTTGATGAAAAACAGATAATCTGGTATTTCATGTGAAAAATGGAATAAGAAGCATCAAGTATAAGCCAGTAGACTATCAACAATTGCACGCATTAACTGAAGCAAAAAAATTAGCTTCTGCCTCTATAGAGCTAAAGGTTAGAAGTTGTGTGTATATCCGTGTGTGTGTGTGTGTGTGTGTGTTCTAGTTTTGGAAAATTGAATTGCTAAGAAGTAAAATGATAATAAAATGTAAATGTGAAAATAAATAACATTCTAAATAGTTTTTAGTGTCTTCCAACTATTAATAATAGTGAATTTATTGACTCCTCTCAGACACTATGCTATATAGTTTATATTTGTTACTCGCTTAATGTTCATAATAACCCATTAGGTTTGAATTCAACTTAATTTTTAGAAAGATTACTGTTTCATTTGCTTTCAACAATTTCTAACTTAATCTGAAAAATAAGAATTGCTAGTAAAAGTGCCAGCCATGGGTTATCATCTGATTGAAGACTCCCTCTGCAACACCATTCAAATGAGCCCTCAGATGCTTCTCTTTTTTAGAATTCTCTTTTTTGACTTGACCTAAGAAAAGGTGAATCTGGACTAGACTTGAAAGGCATTTATGTGCAAGTGATTGTGCACAGTATTTTAGGATCATGTATGGTTTAGGATTACTCATGCAATATGTTTCCCTCATGTGTAAATAATACAGTATATTATAAACAACATTTTCATTGCTTGGTTGCATTCAAAATCTGGTTTGGCAAAGCAACATATTAAGTAATTTATAAGTTTTCATTCATAATTAATATTTTTGTGTTATATATTGTTAATATATTTTTTAAAAGGCAACTGTTATAAATTCAAAGCACATCTGATAACTTTTTCTAGAGAAACTACCATATATCCATGAGCTATATCCCCTCCAACTAAGAAGAGCACCTAAAAAAGTAGGGCATTATTTGGTTCAAATATAACTTTAAGTTTAATGTTATCAGGACATTCAAAAAATTTTTTGAGAAAACCACTTATATAACTATCATCCTAATAAAACACTTTTTATATTTCTGACTTCTATTTTGACCCATTATACATGTACCACATATACACATACATATATAAGTATAAACATATACATACATATTTGATTTTCTCCCATGATAACATAGACATAAAATCCTGTATACTTTTCCTCCTAATATTTTTCCACATAATCTTTATGATATTTAATTACTCAAGTAAATAAATATTCATTTACTTGAGTGTGCCTGGAAGATACAATGGTAACAAAATATACCCCTTACCCTCATGGAATGTACTGTTTGCAGGAGAAGGGGAGAGAAGTCAGTGTTTCTCAAATAATCTCCAAAATGTTGCAAGAGAGGGGAAGAGAAGTCAGTATTTCTCAAAAAACTCCAAAATGATATTACGTTAAGTATAAACTTCAATAATAATAATAAAAAAACATGCTGTCTGGTTTGTAATAATAGGGCTTGACCCCAATTGGGTGGGAAGCCTGTTCTGAGGAAGTGACATTGAAATTGGGATCTCAAGGCCAATAAAATTGAACTGACCATAAACAGGAGTGATGAGTACTCCAAATAAAAAAAGATGCATGCCTGTTCATATCCTGATTTTTGGATATTGGGATTATATCCAATTTTATGATATTGGAAATTATGCTTTAGTAAATGTCTTCATGCATAGAGTTTTCCACCCCCATAGGATAAATTCTCATAACTGGGATGTCTGGGCAAAAAAAGAATGAATGTCTTTTAGCTCTATCCCAAAGTATTGTTCTAATAAAGATGCCACCACAAACGTTTTTGTCTATGCCATTGGAATATGTACATGTATATTCAGATATATATACATATATAGTCCTAATATTATCCATATATTTATTTTGTTCATCCGTTCTTCTGTCCATCCATCCATCCATCCATCTATCCATCCATCCACTATGCATTGAAAGGAAAAAAAACAATTTCGGCTTAATGTGGAATAGTTGATGTTAAAATCAGTATTTGGTCAAAGTGAATTTCCTTTTGATGATAGAATCACTATCAAAGAATAAACATTTTAAAATTTTAATAATTAATGTGGTTTTTAAAGTTTGGCATTAAATTCAGGGATAATAATTTTCAGCATTGTCAGCTGCTAGGTTGCTTCGCTATTCAGTGTGCCATACATTTTTGAGGTTAAACAGATGATCACTTAAAACTGACATTATAAATAACATCAATAACCTTTTTGTTCATAGAAAATAATTCAAGAAGAAGCCTTTTAGTTACATATTTCCTAGAAATAACTTTATATCTGGGATTCATACTTTTGCAAATCTCAAAAAATCCTTTGTCTTCAGCTCAGCTACTGAAAATGGTTCACAGTCTGTAGCAATCATTTTGACAAACTTCTTACTTCCATTTTTAGTCTCCATAGTTTCATAATGATAAGGAATTGTCCTTTTAAAGCATTTTTGTAATATCTGTTGTTTTGAATTTTAGTTAGTGAGAACAAAATGTGTCTGGGGTACTCCATGATTTTCTAACACTTTCTTCTTTTCTTTATACAGTTTTTATTTTTTATTATATTTGGATTAAGGAAGATGTATTGAGAGTGTTGTTCTATATGATTTTTGGAGTCTTCCCTTCTCACTTAATTTGGAGATAGCAAGTTGACATTTTGCTTCTAATTTACTCCCATAAGGTGTGAATAATTTCCAACTATATCTTTTTTCTTGAGACTCGTGTCCTAAATAGAATTCAATGTCTAGAAATTAAAATATAATTCTTAAAGTTTATTTTGTTTAATGTTATGATTGCTAATATACCAAATAGTCTACACCAACTAGAATTATGAATATGATGTTATTTTTTTCTATTATTTAAATTTTTATAAAATATGTGTTGGATCAAGAAGAATATTTTATTCTTCCTAATATTACATAGTTAACATATTCTCTCTTAATATTTGTATTATCTGTCCATTTTCCTATTTATTTTACTAATTAAATGTGCTTATTTTTTGCACATGAAATTATCAGCTTTAACAATCATTGTTAATTGTTACAGCACTTTACTCTGGCAATCTTAACTATAAACATACTTAAAACTGAGCAATAGAATCTTACCATTTAAAGCACATAGGGAGATTTTTGTTTCAAGTTATGTATAGAATACTTACCTATATTTGAAAAAAAATAACAAAAATTATTGTTAATTAACAATAAATTTAGAAGACTTGCCTGATTTGTATTACTGGTATTGTTATACTGATTAGATGTAATGATTACCTACGTGATCACTGTGTCATTGATCATGCGCAAGTCCTGGGATGCCAATTAAGACATTGATGTGGACAATGAGTAATCCAGTCTTTCAAAGGCTGAAACTGAACTTGAAGCTAAATAGCAAATTTGGGTTGAAAATTGAGACCCAAATTGAGTTTTGGTGCATTATATGTTAACCGTTCATTCCCAATTTAAGTATAAAAGATATCTTTATAATTATTTTTATTTGAATTTCTTTGCTTAGCAGGAATAAGTATTCTTGTCCAACTCAAGTATCAATCTACTAATTCTTTTTTTAAAATGTTATATTGTAAGCATATGTAAAATTAGAGTGAATGGCATCATTAATCTCCATGTAACATTACCCAGCTTCAACTAGGATCAACTCTTGGCCACTGTTTCCTCTATACTCCCACCCACAACTTCCCCCTGTGCCAAATTATTTTTAAACACATCTCAGACATCATAATATTTCACCATAAATATTTTAATTTGTATCTCTTAAAGGTTATGGGGAAAAAACCCATACCCTACAATACTATTACCATTAAAAATTTCTTAATTGTTTCTTAATAATTTCAGTTATCTAGTCAGTGCTAAGTTTCCCTGATTTTCCCCAATTTTTTTTCTTAAAGTTTATTCAAATCAGTGTCTAAGTAAGATCCACATATTACAATTGAATTTTTATGTTTTTAGATTTCCTCCTCCATCTCCTTGTATTTTTATAGTTTACTTGAAGAGTTTGTATTGTTTGTTTCACAGTTTCTTACAGTCTGGATTTTGCCTATTACATCCTGGTTGTGTCATTTAACATGTTTTTCTTTCTCTTTCATTTCCAGTAAATTGGTAGTTATATCTAGAGACTTGATCAGATTCAGGTTCAATTTATTTTGGCAAGAACACTTATTGATGGAATTTGTGTGCTTGTCTTTTTCTATTACAAATAGTGCTGCAGCGAGTGAGCTTTGTTCATTTATATTTGTATACTTTTGTCAATATAGATTTCAGATAGATTTCTATAAGTAAGAGCAAACCCATGTGAAAATTTGCTGTACACATCCAAATCCCATAGCCTCACAGAGTGTTTTGTTAAACATTTGAGTTTTTGTCAACCTGACAGATGAGAAATTGCAACTTAGTACAGCTGTTTTTTTTCTTTTTATTTATATTAACAGTTCTTTGTTGAGGTATAACTCACATATAGTAAAGTGCACAAGTGCACAAATCTTAATTGTACATCTCAATGGATTTTAACAAATATATACACACATAACCAACACGTACATTGTCCAATAGTTATTGTTTATATCTCAAGTTAGATCATCTGGCCCAAAGGCCTTTTATGGCATTTTGAGGTGCTTATTTAGGGTTTTATTATCTTGGATCATCGCAATAAACCAAATAGGAAACATCTAGTTTCTAATTCTTTTATAAATTTATTATTTTTGTTATTTTAATTTCATCAGCATTTTGAATAAATCATTATCCACCTTAAATATTGATTTCATATGGCTCATTGCCTAGCAAAATGAATTGGAATCACCTAGACATCTCTATATTGATAAAGATACAACTTTGAATCTTTTTGTTCTTTTCAGATTTTATTTTTCTTCATTTTTGGCCTGAGGATAGAAGTGGAGTCAATGGGTGAATTTACAAAAAATTAAGATGTTCTGCAAAATATTGGAAGTGTCTAGTGAAAAATAGTAGCTTTATTTTGACTTTTATAGTCTATTTAATTGGTCTTTCCCCAGGCCCAAAGGCAGCAGCATTGATTTTCTTTTAAGCTGTAAAAATGTGTCTACATCCTTCACCAATGTATTTTAATTTTTTTGTATGACATAGACCAAATATGTCAAAGAGATCTAATTTCAAAAGTTGTGTCTGCTGCAACAAACTTTAGAGACTGTAGATGACAAATAGTTGGAATGAGTTTTAGGTATTCTTAAAGCAAATACTAGAGTGTCAGATTTTAGAAATACTATGCATTTTTATTTTTTCCCATAGATAAAAGATTCTGAA